CGGGCAGATCCGGCCCCGCCCCCTGCCGGGGTAGGCGGGGCCTCCGCGCTTGATGAACGGGTAACTTTCCACCCCTGCCCACGTGGTGCACCGGGCTTCCGCCCCCTCACGGCCGATTAGGGGGCGCGGCGCCGGCGGCCTCGCCCCCTCGCGGCGGTGATTGGCGGAAGCGGAGCCGTGGGTACGCCCCCGGCGGCTCGCGCTGCCGCGGTGCCCGGCTCAGCGCTGCCGGCGGTCGGGACGGGGCAGGCAGGACCGGCGCCGGTCACCGGTACTGCGCACGGCACGGCACGGCACGGGCTCACCATGATCGTGTGTCCCCAGAGCGTGGAGCACCCCCGAGGAAGCCGGTGCCAGCGGCTGCCGGGGCAGGTAGGTCCCGCTCCGCCGCCACCGGAGCCCGTACCGGTGCACCGGGCTCGGCCCTGCTCGCCGCCCACCGGCCCGGCCCGGCTGCGGCACCAGCAGGCTAAGGCATTCCCGCCGCCCGCGCGCGGGCCGGGCATGGCCGCGCTCTCCCGATGCGGTGGCCGGCGGCCCGGTACCGGTGCCGGTGCGGCGGCGCCGTCCCCGTCCCCTTTGTGCGGGATGCGGGAGGCGCCGTGCCTCCATCACTGCCAATCAAACTTGTTTTTCTCTCTCCGCCTGCACTGCCCGCGCCGCGCACCGGGGGCGCTGCCGCCTCCACCCGCACAATGGGGCCCCGGTTACCGGCCGCCGGCACCGGGCCCGGCACCGCTGTGGGGACCCCTGCCGCGGGCACTGCACTTCGCCCGTCCCCTCGAGAACCGGGGCGGGGGGCCGGGCGAGAGGTGCCCGCCGCGGTCGCGTCCCCAGCGAGCATCACCGGCGGAGCCACCGGTACCGGCGGAGCCGCGGTCTCACCTCGCGGAGGGATGGAGCCCCGGGGGGCGGCGGTGTTCACACTGCGGAGTCTTTCCCGGCCGGGCGGGGGGCTAGGCGGGGGTCTCCCGGCCCCTCTCCCGCGGCTCCCGGCCCTGCCCGGGCTTGCTCCTGGTCGCAGAGCACAGGACTGGCTGGGCTCCTCCATCCTCCTGCCTGTTTTACATGCAGACTGCTCCCCGGCGATTGGCTGGCCGGGCAGCACCGGGGCATCGTTCCCCCGGCAGCACCTGCCCGAGCAGGGAGGGGGTGAGGTTGGCGGTGGGTACGGGGTCGGGGTGCCTATTGGGATTCAGGGGGCTTGGACCCACGAAAGCTGCCCCGGGGAGGGAGGCAGGTAGGCGATGCTCCCACTGCCCAGGGCTGCGAGTGGGTGCAGGGGAGGGGGAGGAGGGTTATGGCAGGGGAGGAGGAGGAAGGGGACACTGGGGGCAATGCGAGAGGCTGGGGAGGCAAGGCTGGGGGGGACGTGGCTGGTGGTGCCAGAGGAGAGACCTTGGGCTGAGCTGGTGCGATGGAGAGCAGGCAGGAAAGCCTAGCTGGGGGACGAGGGCTGAGGTGGCAGGCTGCCCTGCACCTTCCTTCATCCTCCGTTTCCAACCCATGTCTGCATGGTCCCTTGCTCCATCATCACCTGGACAAGCAGAGTGAGGAGAGCTGGTGGCCCCGGAGGCTGAGCTGGGGACCACCTTCCCCTGGGGGGAGTGAAAGCTCTGCTGGCTCCTCCACCTCTGCCCACCAGAAGACCAGTGGCTTTAACCCCGTGGGTGTCCTCAGGGCAACTCATTTCCCTGAGCAGAGGGACGTTGTCAGGGACTTTTGCAGGTCAGTTCTGGTTTGCACCTTATCCTGTGGGACAGAGAAGCCGGTGCTCTTCATCCCTCCCCATTTTAATTTGAGTTTTGGGGTTTTTTGGACCCCTTTGGCCAGAGGAAGTGAAGAGGAAGCTCCAAATGGCATCAAGTAAATCTCTTTGACAGCTGAGCACTGGTGTGTTTGTCAGAAGTGCAGGATGGTAGAAAATAGCCAGAGCTGCTTCCTGCACTGCCTCTGCGGGTGCGACTGCTCTGTGCTGCTGCATGGCTCAGCCCTGCTCTGCCTCCCCTCACCTCGGGGTGCTCTGCTCCACACCCCACGTTTTTGCTGGTTTGCAGAAGTGCTCCTGGTTTTCTGCCATGCCACTGTGGTCGCTGTGCGCTGGTCACCAGCCTTCAGGTGACTGCACCGGAGAGACGGGTGGGAGGAAGATGGTGGTGGTGTCAGCAGGGCCAGTTGCTCCCAGGGAAGATTTTGGTTCAAGCCCGGGATGAGAGGCGCACCCTCTGCGCCTGAGGGTGCTGCCTGGGCTCCCACGCGCAAGCGGGAGCTGTGACTTTCTGTGTGAGAAGGTAAGCGCCTGCTGCACCTGTGCCTTGGCGCAGGCAGGCTGCGGGTACAGACCCCGCTGTCGGGTGGGAGGTGTGGCAACAGGGCCATTGGGGCGCAGCAGCTGCCCAGGCACCTTTTGCCCATCCCTGCCCTCTGCTCCCACCCCCCTCTCAGGAGAGACTGGGATGGTGCGGCTCGGGGCTGTGCTCAGCTGGGGTACCACTGCAGGGCTGGGGTGGGCACTGCTGGGGGTGTATGGACCCCCTACCCAAGTTGCCTATCTGTGTTTCACTGGTGGATGCACCCAGTGCCAGCTGTGCCATGCACCCATGTGCTGTGGGACCTGCACCCATGCTGTCTCACTCTGTGTGCTCCCAACTGCATGGTGGGTGCTAGGACACCGCTTGCCCCTTGGCTTGCCGGGGCAGGAGCCCGGGAGCAGCTTGGCTGGCTCCACAGGTCTCCCCCCATCCTAGTGCTGGGCAGGAGGGCTTGGTGGTAAGGCTGATGGACTGCTCTGTTCTGGGAGGTATTTCATCTGTCATGTTTCTCCTGCTCCAGCCTTGCATTTGCCTCTAAGGCTGCAAGGAAACATCACTCGTAGTTTGCCCTTTACTTCTGCTCACCAGGCAATGCCCTCTCCCAGACAGAGACCAACCTGTGCTTCCTGCAGCCTGTCCTCCCACTAGCAGTGACCCCACTGAGCAGTGCTCTGCCTAGCTCCCTGACCCGAGCACAAGCTCTCTCCAGTGGCTTCTGACCTGTTGGTGTCCCTCTGGGAGCACCAAGCCAGGAGAGGGGATCCCAGCCACTCGCAGAGCCTGGGCTTGGCTGGGGTGGGCTGCTGCAGCGAGGGCTGCTCCAGGGAGAGCTAAGCAGACCGTGTTCCCTGCAGGTAGTGAAGATGTCCAGCAGCGACCCTGAGCGCCCCCACTTCCTCTTTGTGAAGGTGCTGGCCAGCCGGGGGCGGCTGGAGGCGGTGACCCAGCAGATGGGCTACCACCCGCAGTACCTCGACAGCTTCCTCAAGATGCAGCACTACCTGATGCACATGGACGGCCCGCTGCCCTTCGACTGCCGGCACTACATTGCCATCATGGTGAGCCCTGCTGGGAGCTGCCGGAGGGGACGGGGTGCTCTGCTCAGCCCTGTGAGGCTCCCTGCTCTCCCTCCACCAGACAGCCTGTGCCGCAGGCTTCTCTGCAGAGGCCAAAATCATGATGTCCTGGAGGTTGGGTGGAGAGGTGGGCTCGGGGTCCCAGGACGCCTGTCCCACCAGCACAGTGCGGGGATGCTGATGTGCTGCTCTTGCAGGCAGCTGCCCGGCACCAGTGCCGGTACCTGGTCAATCTGCACGTGCTGCAGTTCCTGCGGGCAGGGGGTGATCCTCAGTGGCTGCGTGGGCTTGACTTCATCCCCCCCAAACTCCGCAACCTTAATGAGATCAACAAGATCCTGGCACACCGACCATGGCTCATCACCAAGGAGCACATTGAGGTATATCAGCCAAGGACCAGGGTGGTGATGGGGACAGCAGCATCCCCAGGGGGTGCCGGCACCCTGACTGTGTCACATCGCTGGTCTATCTGTGTCCTGCAGAAGCTGCTGAAAATCAGCGAGTGGAGCTGGTCACTGGCAGAGCTGGTGCATGCCGTTGTCCTCCTGGCACACTGCCACGCACTTGCCAGCTTTGTCTTTGGCTGTGGCTGCGAGCAGGATGACGGGCTGGGGGGCCGAGGCTCACTGAAGCCCTTGTCACCTGGAAACCAGTGCTTCTGCGAAGTCGCCACTGGCAACGGCTGCAGTCAGGAGCTGCTGCGCATCAACCGCAAGCGGGTGAGCCCCCGAGGGTGGGTCCCCCGAGGGTGGGTCCATGGGGGGACAGGGGCACGGCCAGGAGCACTGCCCTCACCCCTGAGCCTGTGTCTGTGCAGTCTCTGGACTCCTGCATGGAGCTGGATTCCCTCCGGGAACGCATGCAGCGGATCCACGTGGAGACCGAGGGCAGGGAGGAGACGAGACTGCTGCAGCAGGACCGAGAGGAAGGTGAGGGGCAGGGAGCAGAGGTGGGCATGCAGGATGGGAGTTCATATGGCATATCTGGGTCTTGCTCCCCCATGTCTATACTTATATTTTCTGTGATGTACGGTTTGGAGACGCGCTCCTGGGATGCTGGTGGCAGGGGAGGAAGGCAGTGGCACTTCCCAAAGAGGCCCAGCAAAGCCCGGCTTTCAACGCCTGCTGCAGCTGGGAACAGGGCAGCTGAGCATTGCTCTGACCTGTCTGCAGGGCTTTCCCCTCTTGCAGATACTGACGGGGAAGTCACCGGTGCCACCAATCTTGCATGCTACATGCAGGACCCTGACTTTGGATACCAGGACTTTGCCCGGCGTGACGACGATCAGACGCAGGTATTCAGAGCCCAGGTGAGGTTCCTGCTCTCTCAGCAGGCGGCAGCCTGGGCTGCTGCCTCCCCTCTCCCCTCTCCCCTCTCCCCTCTCCCCTCCCCTCGTGGGGAGCAGGTGGTTGTGGGGGTGCCCATGCAGCCCGGATCTGGTGCAGCTGCTTTTGCAAAATACCTGAGTAGGGAAATTCAGCTCTTGAGAGGGAACCTGCCCCACTAGGGTTGGGGAGAGGGAGCTAACCACTGACTTCTGTCCCCAAGGGCTGCTGATTTCTTCACATTCTTCACAAAGGCAAGGGTCAAAAGCTGTGTGATGAGGGATGTAGTTTGTGGCAGAGCTGCCCCCAGAGCAAACCTATTGAATTCTGCTGCGTCCCAAGGTCTCCAGCCCTTCATCCTGGGAATATTCCCCAGGGTCCTTTTTGTGGTTGTGAAAGCCTCTTGCTGTGCTCAACAGGATTACTCCTGGGAAGACCATGGCTTCTCGTTGGTCAACCGGCTCTACTCTGACATCGGGCATCTCCTGGATGAGAAGTTTCGGATGGTTGATGGTCTGCAAAGCAGTGCCATGGCCAAGCGGCAGGGCTGTGAACCCTCTGTCTTCAAGCGGGGCATCTGGAACTACATCCACTGCATGTTTGGCATTAGGTAGGGAAACCAATCTCATGGTCCAGGGGAGAAAACTGAGCTGACCCAGGCAGGAGGAGGGTAGGGCACTCAGGCTGTCTTACAGATGGGCTTGGAAAAGGGACAAGTGAATTGCCTGCCTGGTTGTTGGGCCAGGCAGGGAAGAGGTGCTCAGCTTCTCTGGGCAGGGCAGGGTGCTTTGGGGACAGGGCTTCAGTGCCTGGTGGCTGCTGCTGTGTGTCCCCCTGCCCGGCAGCTGTGCTGTGCCCCAGGCAGACTACAGATGAGTTGCTCCATAGGGACACGGTGCTGGCTGTGACTCGCCCCTGTGCTCCCTTGCAGGTACGATGACTACGACTATGCAGAAGTGAATCAGCTCCTGGAGCGAATGCTCAAAGTTTACATTAAAACTGTAACCTGCTACCCAGAGAAGACAAACTCAGAAATGTTTGACAGGTTCTGGAAGCAGTTCAAGCACAGTGAAAAGGTGGGACAGCCAGCCCCTGGCTCTGACCAGCTGCAGTGGGGCTGTGAGTGAGCAGGGGCTGCAGGCTGGGGTGCTCCGGGGGATATACAGGAAACCTCTGAGCCACCAAACCAGTCCAAGGCAGGTGGGGGGGAAATGGACACTGGCTGTTTGTAAGGAGTTGGGCTTAGCGTGGCATGGGGCTGCCTGTAGTGTGATGAGCACAGAGGCCACTGGCAGCATGGGGATCTCCAAGGCCATTACCCCATCGGTGAATGCCTCCAGGTGAGCCCTTGCTCCAGCTGTAACTCACTGGAGCAGCTGCTGTAGGTAGCAGGGACTGTGCCAGCACCAGCCCGGCATGCTAATGCCAAGTGTGCTGGGCTCTGGGAGGCCACCACAGCCTGCAGGACTGGGAGAAGGGGGAAAGGGCAGCTGCCTGTGCTGGAAAAATTGGTGGCATTTTGTCCCATGCCAAAAGACTCACTAGCCTGGGTCGCTGCTTGCTTGCACCACTGCTCACAGCACACTGTGGCTGCCTGAACCTCTCTTGCTTCTCCCTTAGGTCCATGTGAACCTGCTCATCCTGGAAGCCCGAATGCAGGCAGAGCTGCTGTATGCATTGCAAGCCATCACCCAGTACATGATCTCCTAAATGGTGGGGAGCTGTGCTGCGGCAGGGCCGGGCAGCATCTTCTCTCCCTGGACTCCTGCGTGACCCATCATGCTGGGATGGATGGCAAGGGATTACTCAATTTAGTTTACTTGACTGTCTTGGGTTTTGGGTTCCCCCCCCCCCTTTGTGGGGCTGGCTGAGTGGCCCCGTTACGTGCAATTACCAAACTGTGAGGCAAGTCCGTGCTGCTGAGATGTCGGTGTGATGCTGGAGACTTGAACATGTCCAAGGAGGACTGCCAAAGACATGGGGGGAGAGGGAGGTGGGAGGGGACTGGGGCCAGTTTAGACGGATGTTCCCTCACAAGCAGAAGCTCCTTGCCCAGACACTGTGGGAGCCTCGGTCACCGCAACAAGGGCAGAGGGGCGAGCTGGCTTCTTTCCCTGTGCTGCAGTGGCCGCCCTGCTTGCAAGCCACCCTTCGGTGTCTGGCCTCGTTGGGGTGATGCATCTCGCTTGGGAACAGCACGGGCAGCTTGTGGGTGTGTTGCAGCATCCCGAGTTGCATGGTCAGGCAGGGAGGAGTGCTGGCTCCAAGTGAGGGCCCTTCCCCAGCCTGGGATGGGAAGGGGATGCGCTTTCTGCCTACGCGTCCTGCCCTTTAGGTCTATGTGCCAAACCCCTCTGGGATGGACAAGTGATGACCGAGGTGAAGTCCAAACTGTGAAGCTCTTGCTGGCAGGGTGCCCTAGGGCTCTGCCTTCTCTGACGGTGGGGTGAGAAGGTCTGTGACAGTGTTCAGGCTCTGGAGATTTCTGCAGAACACTTTGGGCAGTCCTCGGGGAGCTTGCTCCAAAGCCCCTCCTCTGCCTCCCATCAGCAGAGGGGCAGGAGGAACAAGGAAGGCTTTCTGACTTAATGTGGCTTGTATTTTCTTACCACCGTGAGAGGGCCAGTCACTTGCTGCTTAACAGCATGGTGGAGGAGCCTGTGGTCAGCACAGGTGAGCTACAGGAAGCTTCTCCGTCAACCTGGGCTGGGGAGACTCCCTGGGCTGTCCCCATTTGAGCAGAGGCAGCCCATACACCAGCCTTGCCCTCTGCCCCATGGGCAGGAGCATGTGCCACTGCTCCCCCCTGTCCCAGGGCTGCTCCCTGCCTGTGCTGCAGCCCCTGGCTGGGGAGGTATGAGGGATCCAGTGCAGGCTCTGGAGAGCAGCCATGAAAGGGGAATGAGGCCACCTGTGATAAGTGGGAGCCTGAAGCAAGGGCAGCTGTCAAGTCAGCCCAGTGCACGCTGCTTCAGTCGACCTGTTTACTGCATAAATGTACAGGGAGAAAACCTTGTGTATGGAAGCTACAGAAAAAGCCTATTTTTGCTATAAATATATTATGTTTGACATGGATGTGTGCTTTATTTCTGCCAGATGTTGGAAAGGGGATCCAAACTTAGACTGCTGCTCTGAAGGCAGGACAGCAGTGCCTGGCTGACTGCAGCCCCGAGATGGCTCCAGCTCCAGGAACTCCAATGTTCCCAGCCACGATGGGGTCCTGTGCTGACAGCTCTGGTCCAGGGCCAGCAGCTGTTCACTGGGGCTAGACCCGTCCTGTTCAGCTCAGCTATGTCCTCTTCCCATGCTCAGATGAACAACTCCTGCAGCATTGCATGTTCAACAGGAAAAGAGGGAAGGTTTTCAAGGGGCTGCAGTGCTCTGGCAAGTAGGAGGCTGCTGGAGGAAGGAGCTGGCTTCTCCCTTGCCAGGTACCTGGCCATAGGAGGGTGAGGTGTGGGTGCTGCTTCTGCAGCTGAGGAAGAAGCATTTTGCTTGCACTCACAAGCAGGTGCTCGGTGAGCAAGGCCAGAAACCAGGACCAGCTCTTTCCCCAGCTACACTGCAGGTGCCCTCCCTGCAGCATGGGCTGGAGGAACCTGTGCTGGAGCTGGACCAGCTTTTACTGGGCCAAGCTGGTGCCCAGGCAGTAAAATGATGGGACAACTGGTGCTGGGCAGTACTGGCTGAGTCAGTATGGTGCCAAGACAGTGGCACCAGTGCCAGGATGACTGGTGCTGGGACAGGTGCCACTAGGCTTGGCTTGACAGTACTGGGACAGGCACTGCTGTACCATCATTTAGCCCCAGTGAGGGCTGGGCACAGATGGGGGCAGCTGGGTGTCCTGCTCGCTGTCAGGAATAGCGCTCCGATTAACTGTAGCATCCTGCCTGCCTGCCAGCTGTTTTGCCAGCCTTTCCCCTGCTCCTGTGAAAGCAGCTCTGTCCCCTACAGGGCTGGGATGAGCTGCAGCAGGCAGTGCTCTGCAGGCCGTACTGCCCTGGAAGCAAGCAGCGCACCACAGGTCTGCGCAGCCTGGGGCTGGCTCCCAGCACGCTGCCAGCAGCAGCATCCTCACCACCCACCATCACCGTGCACTGCTGGGGAGAGAGAAGGGAGATGGCAGCAACAGCATGGCGCTGGCTGGGGGTGAAGGGCTGCCCATCCCCAGGAGCTGCAAAGCAGGTTCCCTTTTGCCCCCCATCTCTCTCCGTTCGTGCACAAAGAGCTGGCCTTACAGGAGCTGGGACAGCTGCTGCTTGCTCCGGCTCACAGAACAAGCACCAGTCACAGCAGCAAGATGAAGGGCTCCATGGGCTGTCAACCCTGACCAGAAACGAGCACAGCTGCTGGCAAGGCCAGGGGAGACTGCCAGCCTCAGCTCCCCAACAAGAAGAAAACATCCTGACGTGATCTCAGAGCTAGAAAGCAAGAAATGAAGCAATCATCTACTCCCATCCCTGCAGAGCCAGCAAAGTTACTATCACGTCCCAAGTAGGTCTTGTAGCAGGTAACTCAAGTATGGGGGATTGTGTCACTGGAGAAGCCTGTAAAGGATCTTGTTGACTAGACACTTCAGGGTAGTTCTACACCCACACTAGTAACTACAGTTCAGCTTTTGAAACCCATGAGCTGGTCCTTCATGTTACCATCCTCCCCTGCTCCCCTCCTGTGCCCGGCCAGGCTGTGAAACTGTTGCACTCACTGAAGCCCAGGCCTTAAGGCTTCCTGGGAAGGGCAGTGCAGGCGCTACACCATTCAAGGTAAGCAGATGGCTCTAAGCCACATGGCACACCATGAGTCTGGCAACTTCAATGCTTGGGACCCTGCCCTGGTGCAACCCTGCACCCTTCATCTGCTCAGACTAGGATATTCCTCTCTATTGCTCTGTGCTTGGAAGAAGGAGAGCTGCCAGAGCCCAGGGTACCTCTCCTCTGCAGGAACCCTCCAGGATGTCCAGCATACCCATGTGGGAGCCAGGCCACTGTGACCTTACCTGGAATTACTGAGGGGTGGATGCAGGCACATGTCCAAAGCAGTCACCGAGTTTCCTGCAAGAGCCTGTAGCAGAAAGGCCTGCTGGCAGGCACAGCCAGGACTGCTTTTGTTACAGCCAAGCCATCCCCAAGCTGCGTGGGGGGAGGAATGGTGTGTCCTAGCCTGCAGAGAACAGCAAGCCATGCTGCAGCAATGGTTACTGTCACAGCTCCTACAATGCACCCATTAAAAGACAGCCCTATGGCTGCTGGTCTTACAACAGTGGTGGAGGGGGAAAAAATAGTACATGGGAGCTGGGGATAGACTGTCCTGCCAGGACAGCCCTGGAGCAGGCAGCGTGCACCCCACTATCTCCCCATTCTCCAGCTTGCCTTTCCCACACACCAGCTACTCCACCACAAAAGACACGTGAAGTAGGGCAACAGACCTCCCTGCTGTGCTTTCACACATGGTTCCATCGCTGGTGGCACAGGAGAAGCGTTCATCAACCGGCAAGCATCTGGGGCAAAGCAGGTCTCTGGCCAGAAACTAAGATGAGCAGAAAAGCTGGTGAAGTTTTTGTGCTGGCTTCAGGTACTGCTGCTCTGCAGGCAACTACTCCATAGGCCAAAATGCTTATGGTGACAACTCCAGAGACCTACGAGGTCTCTAATGCTGCAAGAAAGCCTGATCTACTGCAAACAAGGTGCACTGAACCCATGTGACTGTTAGGAGAGAACACAGCAGGACTCTTGGTGACTACTGCAGATGGTGTCACACGCATCAAAAGTGACCCTGAGCCAAGGCATCCAGGTCCCAGGCATCTATTTGGTGCTTTGCTCTCCTTGGCAGTGCTTAAGCGTCACTAAGGCCAATGCTCAAATCAGCATAAAAAGTGTTAACAGCTACTGGGGGGAATGCATGGTCCCCTGTTCTATGTCAAGTTTTGAATGCATCCATCCTGACCCAACCAACAATTGCAAAACCTACCCTCAGCATTTTGTTTCTCCAACAGCACCTACAATTATGTGCTTGCAGGAAGCCCTAAGAAGTGCCCAAGGAACAGACAGTTCCCCTAAGGATCTCCTCCTAATCCCCCATTTTTGGGGATTGGCTTAAATCTTGAAGCAGGAGCCTTAAGATCCCTTCCAGAGTTACTTGCATTAACCATTTTAGCACTATTATTTTTCAGTAGTATTCTTTATCAGGTATTACTGAATATTGAGTATCCAAGGCTTTGAACGCACATTTTCTGGCTGTACACATGCTGTGTAATTTCATGAATGAGACTTTCTCCTCAGTATTTTTAAAAACATCCCCCACTTGCTCTCCATGTGTCTAACCAGGCCAGTGCAATCTGTGCTCTACACTCCCTCCCCATTTCTCTCTGATCTACTTACCTGCCTCCACGCCAAAGCAACATGACCAAGGCTCTAAACAAGTCTTGTCTTCTCTAAGATCTCTCCTGAGCTGTGGTGCATGGAGCACCCCCAGGGTAGAGGGGGACAGCACATTCTCCAGCCTCATCCCAGCTGTGAGAAGGCAGACCTGCTGGAACAACACACTGTTTTGATTCAAGGGCTCCACCATGCTCCTCACAAGCTGCTTCACTGGCTTGGACTGTATCTGCATTCCTACTTGCCTTATGTCAAGGCAAAGCCCCTTAAGGTACACACTTGAACACCTCTGAGCAGTCCCAAGGAATAACCAGCTCCTAGCTTCCACTCTGACAGTCATATCCCCTTTGATGGGCAGCTCCAAGCCATTATCTCCTACTATCAGAAATGCTCTCCAGCTGTAGTAACCTTCCTTTTTCTGATGGAGGATTTGGGGTATGCAAGCAAAGATAAAAGCTCACTCACATGCTCATCTGTCCTAATTGTCAGCACCTGCTTGTGGATGGGGTGTCTGAAAGAAGAGGGTAGCAGCAAATCCATCTCTTTATTCCTAGAGATAACAGGTGGAGTTGCTGACACTCGAAGATGTTTGAATGTAGCTATATAAAATGAAGAGTCATCTTCTGCACTCAGGTCTAGAAGGGCAAGGAATTAAGGGGTTAGGATGACTCTAGACTAGTCCTGCACAAGTTAAAACTCCCCAGGGTCAGTTTTAGGGCTTGGCAACCCCATGGGTCCCCACACACTGCCAGCAAGTTGTAACAAGAGGCTCTACAGACTGCAGAGCACGCTGGAATCTTTGTGGGCTGTCACACTGCAACCCTTCCACTTCTGGCCAGCTAAGGGGCATTTCACCTAGGGGTTGCCCTAACAGGTGAGAAGGGCAGATGAAAGAAGCCAAGGGCAAGAAAAAATAACTGGTCCTCACTGGGGAAACAAAACAAACCACATGAGACAGAGCAGAGGATTACAGGTTTTTATTTGTCAAACATTCCCCCCTAGTCTAGCACATTCTACAGTCTTGCTAGCACAGATGGTAACAAAGAGCCTGTAATGGTTCAGAAGTTACACTGCTACAGAGAGCAAACAAAAGCAGAGTTTTACTATGTAAAAAAATTTATTGTGAGAAATGGGTGAAAGAGTGCAGAGGGTGGAAAATGTCAGCTAGTGGTGCCTGCCCTGCGTGCAGCAGACGTCTGTGCTAGCAATGCAGAAACCCTTCCTGGGATCACACCAGGTGAAGACTCCACTGTGCTGGAAGCATCATTTCATGGAACCATCCCCATTGCTTTATGAAGAAGGCACCTTTCAGGAGAAGTGACCTATCTTCTACATAGCCAAACCTCTCAAGACACCTTGGGGAGCACCACACCGAGCACCACAGCACCAGCTGCAAACATCCCCTTCAACCACACACCATAATGCTGCCTCAGCCAGAGAACCATAAATGCAACACCATCAGCTCTTTCACTTTCAGCTTCTGCTGCCCCTTCTCCCTGCTTTACACCATGATATTAGATGCAAGTTTGATTCCATCAGAGGTTGTTTCCATCAACTAGAGACACATCATGGTGTGGGGAGAGACATAAAGGCTACTGAAGAGAGGGGATCCCTTTCTTGAAGGGTGAGCAACTGTGGTGACGGGTGGGACATGCTACCAAGCTTTCACAGGGACAGATCTTTCAGGCTTCAGGAGTCACCTCTTGCTTGCTTCTCCTCACATTAATTAGAACATGTTTTTCATTAGACATGCAACTGAGGCAAAACCTAAGCTATCCCTGTTCATGCTGATGTCCCAGAATTGATTGATTTGTTGTGGGTTTTTTTTTGATAATGAGTCCAGACTTGCACTTTATTTTGGTGACAATCCAGGACACCACTCCCAAGGCACTCTGACCTGTGGCACCAGACACAGGTTTCTCACTCCTGGAGCAAGGCTAGCCCTGAAGCATTTGAGTGTGGCTATAAATAAGCAACTAAGTAAGAAAATTAACAAATGATGATCTACGTCAAAGCTTTCTAGGCATTTCCTTTGGAAAAGCTGGTTAGTGCTACTTGCTTCTAGTATGAGCCTCATTTATGAATACATCTGGGCTCTGGAACGCTCCCACTGCTTTCATTCCTCTCACTTACCAGGATGATTTGACTGCTGTTTTTAAAGCAGCACAGGGTGGGGGATGACATGTTTTTAGACACACCAACATGGAAAACTAAGGGCTCCAAGAAGCTTTCAATATTCCAAGCTCTCACAGGAAGCTGGGAGTATAGTAAAATATGCTTAAGTTATAAAGAAGGCTCAAGCAATTTGCTAAACCTGGGTGTAAATAAAAGCAATCAAGTCTGCCTCCTGCTAGGCTCCATGGGCCTAGTTACCCAAATCTCCTTCGCAACCCAGAGCTGCATGGTGGCTTCACTCTGTGAAAGATGGCATTTGATCTTCTGGAGATGAAGAAACTTGTTACCCAAGCTCAGCGAGGACAAGGAAAATGCACACAGCGCAATGTAAGGCTTCATGCCAGGACTCCCCTGTCCACTCCCCTCAGGGTACTTAATCCCAGAGCATCAATCCCCATGTCACTGGCCCCTCCCGACCCAGCTCACAGCTGCTCTTGAAATTCCAGCCCAATCCTTCATTTGAGCAAAAACCAGCCCACAAGTACAGGGCCTGCAGTGCTAATGCAGAATGAAGGTCCACCAAGACACTATCCTGAATCCAGCAGCAGTCAGCAGCAAACACTTTGGGCAAGAATACAAAAAACTGGACAAGTATTGAGCAACCCTCTGCCAGGTACAGCCTTTCAGCAAGCAGCAGTTTAGGAACTTTAGTCTCCTGTGTCCTATGAAGAAATGTCCCAGGCTAGAAAAGCTCAAGTTTATGTAAAGTTATTTGAGAAGGGGCTGGGGAACTCCTGATTCTCTGCATCCCTGCCCTCTTTGCCCATGATCCAAGCTAACATGCTACACATACAAACGAGAAGCTAAGTTGCCTGCCTGAGCCTGCAGCATTACATTCATGGTTTATTGAGCACTCCTGGAGCACCGTTAGTCTTCTGAACACCATCCTCAGCACTAGCACATTCTCAGGCTTCTTCAACCACTGCCAGCTCCTGTTGTGTTGAGGAGACAGAGAGCACCTGCACAGAGTGCTGCACGACAGAGATGTCACCATCAGCAGACTGGTACAGCAGGACTCCAGCCAGAGGTGCTCCTGTCTCCAGTGCTGTGGCCAGGAGGCCAGCTTGGGAGCATTGCGGGGGGGGGGGGGGGGGGGGGAGAAAGGGGGTCTTTTCTTTAATAAAAGGACAGAGTCTCTCATGAACTCACACTGTAGGGCACCAACCACGATGAGCCTTGGTGTACCTGGGCTGCAGCTCCTTCAACTGGAACAGGCTGAGGACATGTACTAGCTGAGAGTATGTCAGATCTCTCCAGGGCGCTACCTGAGTGCTCAGGGCCTGGCTCTCTGCAGCCAGAGATCAGGCCAGGTTCCCAGTGCTGTCACACCTAGGGGACACCTTGGAACAGCCTGAAGACAGCACTTCTTCCCCACAGACCAACCCAGCCAGAAACAGCTCACCATGGATTTGCAGGTCTGAAGCAGTGGTTACTAATATTGTCTTCCCTATTGCTTTGGGTTCTGTTTTCATGAGAAACGAGCTAGAGATTCACATATAACATGACCACACATACCGATGTCTTGTCCTTTGATACATGGCTGTGAAGCACAGGCAGCCAGTCAACTTGCTCTGGAGATCATGGGATTCATTTTCCCTCAGGGCCCAAGCTGACAAAGTGGTACATTATGTGCCAAGTAACACAAATCCCACCAGACCCATTAGCTGCGGCCCACAATGGCCAATTCATTTGGGCAACACATGCCATCAGGTGTTTGTGGAAATGGTGTCCATCTATTTGTGTAATAAACTACCTGCAGTGAGAATGGGCATCCATGACTCAAGTCTGCAAGACATGGGATCCCAGTTCAGGGTCTGCCTTTTTGTTTGTTTGTTTGTTACAATGAGGCATGGCCAGACATGCAGACTGTGGGTAAATTTGAAACATACTACCATGAGGTCTGCCATGAAGGCAGCCTTCAAAGCAAAGGTTATCAAACTATTCAAAAGCTTTGATGGCAGAGCATCCTAAAAATAAGACTGTTGAATACTCCTTGTTGCAGGTAATCAGACAAACTGCTCCTGTTCCAATCTCCGCTCAAGTGAAAATGAAATGAAACCTATGAAAACAGAGCAGACAAGGTGGTAGAACAGTACGTCTCATAGCACTGCATGATATAAACCTTCTGAACAGAAGCCACTGCCACCTTCAGAAAGGATTGGAAAGGCTTTCTGCCAGACCAAGCCCACCAGAACACAATGAAAGCAGCATGTCTCCCACAAATCCTGCCACTGCAAACACCAAAAAAGTGGCAGAAACATGCCAGCTGATGTTCTGAACTAACCTCTTGACTCCTAGCTTCTGTCCTGCAAGAACAAAGAGGCAGGACAGGATCCCAGGCACATCTGCAAAGGTGTACCTACAGGCTTCAAGTTCCCCAGCAGTAGCAGAAACTTCAGCAAGAAAACAAAAACCTTCAGAAACCAGAAAGTGAGCTACCAAAAAACCAACTGTGCCCTCCATAAGGGCAACCCAGAGTGTCAGCAGATCTAGCATGATCCAGTCCACACCATCTTCTTAGCAGACTAGAGAATCTGTCCTATGTATCAGCTGCAGTCCAGCTACTTAAGGGATTAGCTGAGAATGAGCATGCTGTTAATGATTAGCATTCCCTAACATTGTGCTCTTGGCTTGGTGGGACTGCCCAGTTGGGGAAAGAGACTGAGTGGCTGTGGCTGAATGCCATGCCACACAGGCACCTTCCGCCTGTTCTGGGGAGAGCAGCCATTCCCCAGTTACACTGTGGTGCCCTTCCCACTTTTCCAATGACATCTTCAGCTTCTTGGCCCAAAATGCCTTAGGCCTGTCCCCTTCCATACTGTAGTGTTATCTGGTATCAAGGGGACAGATGCAGCAAATGTGGAGTTTTTTTGGGTTTTTTTGGTTTTTTTAATCCAATAATCTCATTTTCAATTAAAATATATAATATATATTTAAAAAGGTTTAGAAAAGCTTCTATGTAATTTGCAGCTACTTTTACATATAGATTACAATAATGTACAACTCTTCCCCAAGGCGGTTTGAAACCACGGGGACCTGCCAATTCTTTCCCCTCAATCATATACATTATCAAACATCAAATGCATTTGTTCCTAATACAGCTCTGAAAAAGAAGTCTGTCACTGGTACCTTCTCAGAGGGAGAGATGCCTAATACATCTAATGGGGATACACTTAACATTGGCTTCATATTCACTGTAGAAAGTTCCCAGATTAGTAAAAAAATATTTTATCTATAGAAAATGCCCTTCTGAAAAGCAACCAGGGCTCTGTTAAGGCCACACCCAGGCTTTCCATTTCTCTGCTGTAGCAAGACAGATCAGAAACAAAGCCAAAATGATGTTTTTATGTCCCAGAAACAGCTATTAGCACCTGTGCTTATTTTACAGCAGCATGGCGTGTCAGGAAAGTGCTGAGAAAAGCATAGGGACTTCTTGAAACGTGCTTCTGATTCAATGGGGCTCAGTTGGCACAGTGAAAAACTCAATGTCCTCCTGTTCCACTCAGGTGGACAAGAGGAAGCCTTCTGCACCACAACCACCACCCTTCCCTGCAGAACGACAAATGGGCGCTCCAGAGATGGGCACGCTGAAACCACTGAAACCAACCCCTGAAATACTGCACCCTTTTCCCACAGGGCTTCCACCAACAAGCTCCTTCCAATTCCTCTGCAAGTCTGTGGGATACCAAGTGCACATCTGGTGGCTTAATGAAAACATCCAACTACTTTGTCCCAGAGGGCAAGCCAAGTGAGAGCAGAGCCTGCCCTCCGCCAGTCCGAGGCACTGGGAGACTTTCTGCCATAGCAGAGAGAGGATAGCCATTGAGAGATTCCTCCAGCAAACCGAACTCTTCACATGGGAAAATGCTATTGCCTGGCACAGAGTCTTCTGGCCGAGGTTTTTACCAGGGCTCCTCTTCGGACATGTAGAGCCCAGGGTTTCTCCAGATGGTCCAAGGCAGGGTCAGGTTTGTAGGAAGAGCCATGGCACATAACAGGATTATTATTTTTAAACTCTTCCTGTTGCTGCCAGATGCAGGTTGCCCCTTCTTCCCAGGTGGGCAGCCCCTTCTGCCCAAGGTGTGGTGTGCAGGGAAACCAAATCCAACGTGCTCCATTCTTTTCTCTGCCAGGGGTGGGAAGTGAAGTCAGAACCCAATGTTCAAAACCTGAAGGACACTAGGAAGAAAAAAAAAAAATAGAGTGAATGGTTAGATCTCAGCTTCAGTGGGAATCCTGGATGCATAGATAAGGAGTTAATTACTATCAATCAGCCTCTGCTGCAAAAAGGATGCCAACTTCCAGCAAAGAACAAACACAGATCATAAGAGACCTTGATCAATGGAGAGTCAAGTGGAGGATGCAACTGCTCAGCTCCAAGCTTCAGAGTACAATTGAGACAAAGACAAAACAAAAGCATAAAGGTCAAAAGTAAGCACTCCTCCTGTAAGCTGACAGCACCAACAGAGCTCTGCAAGATAAAGAGGTTTAAAGAAGGACTTGGCTAGCACAAGAGGCATTGCAGGAAAGCAGCAAGGAAGAGAAAAATTACTCTTCACCCTAAGCAACCACAAATATCAATTGGTAGGGAAAGGACTAAAAAAAAAGGATTTTTAAAGATCACACACTACAACTGTTTATGCTCACCCACTTAAAGAAATTCTATATCCACCTACAAGTAATTAAACATTTCTAGATACTTCATTTCCCTGCAAGTCTAAAGATCCCTTCTCAGGTTTTCTGCCTCACCTCAACAAAGCTACCACAACTCGTTCAAACAAGCCTTGGAATAGGTCTAAGCAGATTTAAGACACTGACATAAAACCTCCACTGTAGGCCTATGATCCACTTTGGAAGGCAGAATAGAGAGATAAATGTAGGGCATCCCAACAGTTGCATTCAGTAATAGTGAGCATGAATAAACTTGTGGAAACAGAAAGAAGCTACAAGAGGGAATTAGCCCTGAACAAGAAAAGACAGTAACTTAAAACAGAAGCCAGAGCAACAGGCTACTTCAGGAAACTTAAGTTGATGGGGGTTTTATTTATTAATGTTCTGGTAGACAAAAATACAGTGTTTGGAGCAAAGGGAATTAGATAGAGCACAGCAAGAAAACCACGAGTCCAGACCAAGCTGGGCAAGAGATAAAGAGTTCTCCAGGCTATGAAGCTTTAGGGATTCTAACTGAAAAACTAAAGATAAGTAACTAACGTCCACCAGAACATTGGACAGACTTTATACTCAATGAGACACAAACTGTACCACTGTACAAAAGAGGCAATTCTATTCCCAGTTATTCCTCCTACTGGCTTGCAGAAACACATAAAAGAGGTAGATGAGCAGTCCCTGAGTTGCTCAGAGACAGCCGGGTGGCCACCCACACTTCCCACGACCAGAATGGAGGACAATTGCATTAAGTGCTGAAGGCAAGAGTGGTTGCCCGTGATTGAGCATCTGCATGCCACCATCTAATTCCAGCTGTGGCTACCCCTTTTCCATGACCTTGCTCACTAAGGCACCCGTAAGTCACTCTGTATGGCTTGCACATCCAGCGCCTTAACTAGTGAATGGCAGGTTTACAACTAAGTGAGCCACAGCTACCAGTCAGCAGCAGCAGAAATTGTACAATTTCTATTTTTCCTAGTCAAGGAAAGTATTCACATGCTGACTTTCTTCCTCTGTGGCTAATAACTAGGTTTGTGGGTGTTGCATTGCTGCTGGGCAGAGGCAAAGTTTCAATGTTTCATCTCTAATCTCCAAGTAAAGAGTCAAAGGGTTCAAACAGACTTGTGGCGAAGCTGTGGACAAGCTCTTTAGGATTTAACTTGCAAGAAGGGGATAAAGTCACATCAGCTTTGAGCACCACGGGTAACATCAACTAGCTTGTGTCTTCACAAGTGCTGCAGAGAGACCAAGTACTTATTTCTAAAGATCTTCTCTTGCCTACAAAGATAAATACTTCCCCAGCTCCAGTTTCATTCTGGGTGTTCAAATGAGTGTGATCACTGGCATTTTTGATGAACAGTTTTTGCTCAGTGTTACACCCATAACTGACCCAGAAATCTAAAGGTTAAGCCCACAGTAACTACTCAGAAGGACAGCTTTAGGTTAGCGATCACTTAGATTAGCTTTTGCCAATGTGAATTTAACATGGAAAAAACACATTCACAGAAAGGATATGAAAGGAAAAAAGCCTGTCACACTGCAACAATATACATTGGAACAATATATAGTGGCAGCCATGCTTTCCCTGAACAGTGATTTCCAAACAGGGACCCTAATAACTCACTGCAGTAACAGAATCGGAGAAGGGAGAGATGACACAATCTTGACCTGAGTGCAGACACTGATGACTGTAGCTCACTTGGCTTTGGAACTTGTAAATTTGATAAAACATTCTGCCACCTTTTCCCATGGTCCTTCCTGACCTCCAGGGACACTCCTATTTCTCTCCATGCCTGCCCTGTTCCCCCTTTCTTAGAAACCTGACCCATCTCTCTGTCTTGGCAGTGTTTTACACAATACTTGCTCTCCTTTGGGGAAAAAGCTCCCCTTCATCCCACTCCATGGATTCCAGGATACAGGCAAAACTGAAAAGCTTTGCAAAGCTCAGAAGAAGCAAACATAATCTAAAGACAGAATAAAAGGCTTGAAACAAAGCACACTGAACAGAGTGTCACTTCTCCAAGTGCAGTACTGCTGTTAAGAATTGTTCACCAAGAGGCATGTAGGAGCTATGCTTTCTGCTGAAACACGGTACTGGTTCAGAACTTGTTCCAGATCTCACTCCTTTCTTAGTGAGCATGTGTCCAGTGTATTTCCCAGAAAGTATCACTTCAACTTCACGCATGGAACAAAGCGAATCCAGGGTTTTTAACATCAGATCGTTCCTCTGTTTTGATTAAGCAATTCACATGCTAAGTATGGAATAATAATATGGAACAAGAACATAACCAGGCTGTTAAGAGCTCATGTTCTCCCTCTTAAGCATTTGATTACAGTCACATCTTCACCAGTACTAGACTCTACCCTTTGATAAACATTCCCTCAGCTTCTCTGCTTTACGCTCTTAAAAAAATAATCTATGCCTGATATTCTGTAGAGAGAGGTCTTGTCTACCCAGCCCAGGTAATTAATGCACCCAGGAATGCAGAACAGTTTGCATATGTTTTGAAAACACTTCTGTGACAAATATTTCACCCCTGCAATGTCAATGTATACCCCAAATATGATGGCCTGCCCTAGCATGGCATGAAAAAAAAACAAAACACAAAAGCTCAGAACAATATCCAGTGGAAACACTGCTCAAAAGGCCACAGCCTCTGTCACTAACTTGCAAACAGTCCTAATGTGGGTGAAGGATGCCAATGTTCTGTCAACCAAATTTGTCTTTGAAATCAAAACTGAGTTTCCATATTCCACCTGAAGTTCAGATATTCAGTTTAAGACAGCCACTCAGTAATTCAGTAAGAGCACAGTTAAGAAATGCACAAGACTATAAAAAGCCCCATAATGAAACAGAAAAGCTTGATTGATCTTCCCTCTCCCTACAGTAAGGGGATCTGTTAAGTACAGACAGAACAATAAATGAAATCCTAAGCAGTGTGGTGGGACTTGGAATAAGAAGGAGTTAAATTGTGTTTAAAAAGTCAATATATAGTGGTATATCAATATGTTCACAGGGTTTAAGTACCACTGGCTCAAAGGACAGCATTTCACTTTGTCTAGACCCAAGCACTTGTCTAGAGTGGCTCTACTGGGGCAGAGCAGAAAAATATTTAACTTAATATCTGGTCTCCAGCACGAACAGCAGCAGAAATCACCAGAAAATTTAGGTTGAATTGGGCCTCCAGACGTCACCTCATCCAAATTACCTCCAGGTTACTCAGGTGCCTAGGAAAAAGTATTAAGGTCAAGTACATGATAATTTGACTCAGTTTCCATCACCTTGAAGCTCAAGGGCTTCCCACAACTGAAGCAGTATCTGCAATTTGCCCTTACTTCTGCCTGCTCAGCTGGCCAGCATTAGGGGTTGAATTTTTAACACTTAACAAATACTGTACCTGCCTCTTAAACAGGAAATACTCTTGGCAAGGCTTCCACTTTCCAACCAATATCCAGCCTATGCTCCAGTCCATAAAAGAAACTGTCCATTTTCTGTTACCTAACTGAGCTCCAAGTGTGAAGTATGCCTTCAGCTCCATTGCTCTAATTCTTCTTCATATCAGGGTGTCACACACCCTCAGAGAATAAGACATTTTTAACCTTGCTTTCATATAAACTATTTGCCAAACTGACTCTAGAAATTTTTGTGCAAATATGAAAGATCACTGAAGAGACAGCTTTGCTGTGCATGGGATAGCACTAACGCACCCTTTCTCCTTCCACCTCCATTCACACTGCATACTCCTGTCCCCCATTCCCATTCCAATAATGGGTACATAAGCAATTCAGCAGTTAATGCTGATGAACCAGCTTACCAGACTTTACAGACACTATCCCAGATAAGGGAAGGACAGAAGGTCTGCTAACTGAGAGTGATTGTGTCCTGCTACACACAGGGCAAAGCAGGCAGTCATGACACAGACACTCTTTGCAACTACACATACTAGAAAATTTTGCAAGGGTAATAATAACCCGTATAGAAACACAGCATGTGCTTGGCTCAGTTCAACCATTCTGTATATACAGGATCATGTCTTTATTTATGGAATCAGCATATGCTCTCATGTGAACTTCAGAGCTATAGGCATTGCATGGCAGAGACCAACGTCCTGTAGTGCAGTCATCTTTGGTAACAAGAGACAACAGGAGTTTCATTCAGGTTGCTGCTCTACTCCATAAAGGAGTTTACTACCTGGTAAGTTAAGTCTACCTACCTTTACACAGCTTTTTCTCCTTCTACAAGGGAATGCAGCTCTCCCAGAAGCTTTTTACTCAAAGAGCACCAGCGCTTCCAAAGAGGTATCTTTAACTGCTGCAGAGCTAGGCACAGGACCCATCCCAGAAACTGCTGTTCCTACCATAGAGCATTTTACATAACTACACCTACCTTTTTGTGCTCCTGAAGTTAACTTGGTACCCAGGTATGGTTGGAGGCCTGCGAGGTGCTGGGATAGCTGGGAGTAGACAGAATGGGTTCAAAATTAAAGTCCAGTCCTTCTCCATCCATAAGTTCACTGTTGATTATGTAATCCATATCACATTCAAGGTTCTCCATGTACATGTCAATGTCCAGGTCAATAGGCAGCCTGTCCTGGTTCAATCCCAAGGGAGCAGGGCTAGCAGAAGAAAGAAGCAGTGGACTGCCCAGCTGGACTGACTGGGCAGTTGTTGCAGAAACTGGAGCCTTCAAACTGGTGATGCTGGCAGTGTTTTGAGGAGATGTTACTATGGGAAGTGTTGATGGCAAAATGCTGGCACTGACTGGTTCTGCCTGCTGCTCTATAGGCTTTCCTCGTGGATTGCCTGAGCTCATTTTATTCTGGGCGGCTTGTCCACCTAGAAGCAGAAGAGTTCGGCTGCTCATCCTGTTACCAGTCTGTGGGAGAACTGGATCCACCTGAGTCATCATAACATCCCTTGGAGGCGGAGAGCTGGGTGTCAGAAGAGCTTCCAAGGTCTGAGGGGCAGAGAAATGGCTGACAGAACTTTGCAGTGAGATATCAACAGGGTTAAACAGGGAATTGCCAAAAGTAGTGGTCTGACCAGCTGAATTTGGGCTCCGCAAAGAAAAACTGGAATCTCTCTGGATCTGACCACTCGAGGCAGACTGCTGGGTAGATAACACAGATGAGCTGGGAGACATCAAGTTTAAGCCATCAATGAGCTCAAGCTCCTCAGTCACAGTTGGTGGAACATTGCTAGATGCACTGGAGTACACTAAAGAAGGAAGCAACTCTTCATCGTGGAGGTCATCCTGCTCTGTCAGGATAGGAGAAAGTCTGGCACTAATGGTGCTTGCATTGGAACTGGTTCGAGGCCGGAAGGTGTTCCACATGTCAGAGTCCTCATTGCTTCTTGAGGATGGGCTCCCAGGCCACTTAGGGAATTGGGAGCCAGGACTGTCAGCAGTGGATTCTGGAGCAGACTGCAGAGGAGGCTTCTTTTTGGATGCTTTACCCCTGACTTTTGCAAGTTTGCTGCTGTTGTCCATGGAGGCAGCTCTTCTTCTTGGTGCTTTTCCACTTTTACCACCCTCAGGATTGAGCATCCACCAAGAGCTCTTCCCTGTGGCTTCATTATGGACTTTAATAAACTTGCTGTGCAGGGACAGGTTATGTCTAATAGAGTTCTGAAAAAAAAAAACCAAACAAAAAAACAAATCCAAGATATGAGGACCTGACAGTTGACACACCTCCCACCTAGAAACCTCACAAGCATAAACACATTCAGGCAGTATCCAGAGAAGAAAGTTATAACAAAGACATACCCATAAAAACCTGCTACTTCTGCTTGCACATGATTGACACCAACTAGCAAGCAATGCCATGTCTCACTGCAGCACGGAGGGTGAAACTACCGTGACAACTAGCAGCTTCCAACTAGCAAAATACTAACACAAAGGAACTTTTCAAGACCATACAGAATCTGCAAAAAACTAAGCATACCATAGAGCAACTAAGCAAATTCCCAAATACAGCTTGCAACTTCAAAATGAGCCTAACTGAATTTGAGCTAATACTGCTCCCATCCTTCTGCCAACCCTATTAGACAGCATAAGTCTGGCTGAAGTTTTTAATTTTTATATGACTAGTTTTCAGACTGATTTGAGCACAGCATAGCAGTGAATCAAACAGACTGGGTGAAGAGAAATGGCAAAACACTTCTCATTCAGTACGCCCATTACCATCTTCATCCCAAAACCAGAGAAATGAGAGAAACTTTGTGGAACAAGAGTCCTGTTAATCCTGGACCCTGCCCGCCTCACTCTGCAAGGAGACAGTACGCCTTCCTCTGTGTGTTTCTAATGCGGTAAGATGTTCAGCAGATAGTGCACTCCCACACAGTACATGCCAGTTTTAGCCTATCCCATCTTTCTGTTTGGCAAGGCACACATTCCTTGCCCCTCCCAACTACCTTCTTTTGGTTTAGCTTTGCTGGAAACTGCAAGCTAACATATCTGTACACCATCCTCAAACTGAATTTTCATCCTGCAACTGATAAACTCCCTGGTATTTTAGAACTGGCAAGCAATAATCTCACTGTTTGAGCAGATCCTCCGTAAAAAACCCATGAGGCCTGTCGTGCATTTGTTTGATACTTGCATTTAATTTGTTCAGATGGTCAAATTACATATTATTAAAAGGTGCTACACTGGTAGCATAACAGTGGTCCAAGAACAACATCTTTTTCATATAAACTAAAAGGTATATAGCAGCCTTCAGCTTTCATGCATGCTTTCTTAATTCTGAACAAAGTGAACTCTGCTTTTATCATCCTTTCCCACCACTTCTGAACATAGTTCTTTCCTGCCTGCTGCTTTCCCTCTCCCCACCCTCTTCCTCTCAGACAAGTCCTCAAGATGCTAATTTTGGCCACCTCACCAAAATTACTATCCTAGAACAAAGCAGGTGTAGATAAACAATACAGGCAAAGTGGAAAGTTTTCATGGAGAGGGAAGGAGATGTGAGAACCACTCTGCGTTAGCTTCCATTTTAACTTTTGGCTGTTGAGGACTTGGAGAAGACTGGCTGCTTGTGATCGGTATCAAAAGATATGTATGCTCTTACTCAGAGAGCACCCCAAGGGTTACTGTGGAGCCAGGGCCTGATAGAACATGTGTCAGTCAATGCTCTGACACAGTTTTATTATTTAAGCTGTTCACAGTAATAGCTATACAACACTCCTGCCTGGCCTCTTCTCTAAATAAAGCTTTCTTTTCCTTCAAGTCTCAAAAAAAGTAATTCAGACTGGCCCCCTGTCTCCTGGAATGTTGCTCCTTTCATTTCCAAAGAACCCCCTCTCTTTCCCCACATAAACGTGCATGACTTTGAATGCATATTGCTGCAGCAATAAGAACCACTAGGTTTTCACTAATTCTTCATTTAGTCTCCTGAAAGTAATCCCTGAACTCATGATGACACTCAGTCCCATCAGGAATGACCCAGTAGCTTGTACACACAGTATACATTTGGAGTCTCACAACCACCTGATTTTTAGCTTCATTTACTAAAATGGAACTTTAAACCAATAGGTTCAGGATTTCAAAATTTCACAGCTAACTATATACTTTTTTCTTCTCACACATGGCTATAGCCAGGTTTTAATTCCTGTGTCAGCAAAATCACACTGCACTGGTGCAAGCATTTCAGTAATACTGAAACCCCAAGAAAATCAGAACCACTTCAGGTATCCCAAGTGACAATTTTAGTATCAAGTTTTCTAGTTTTTTGGCTGAAAAGCAGCTTGAAATAAGACTTCTTGGAATAAGACTAGGATTCACATGAACACAAATATGCAAAGCCTGGTACCTTTTATGAAACAGTTTCAAAGTGCTTCTACATGTTACTGCTAAACTGTCATAATGGCTAATAGCTGTAGAAACAGGTAACTGCTGTACCACTCCTTCCTTCCTCATCTTCAAACTCTCCTCCTCCCATAAAACAAGCATCTGTGACCCTATGAGCTGCTTCAGAGAGCTAACCCAACATAAAAGCAGCCCTGTCCTTCCTGAAAATTACTTTTCCTGCCTCTGTTATCTCTGTGTGTTTTTTGAACTACCTCACTGTGGGGGTTAAGTGCCGACAACTAAGGAAGAGAACAGAATGTGTGGCTGGAGGCAGAGGAAAAAACCCAAACACTTCTTACATTAGGGTTAACTGCTGTCAAAACTGCAACGCCTAAATTACCACTTTTGCACCTCTCCTGCAGACTTTGCGAGGCAGCTCACCACTGCAGCAGCAGCACCCAGAGCCATAACACACCCGGATGACTGAGCTTGCCTGCATACTGGAGACTCAAGTTGATAGAGTCCCAAAATACAACTGAACAAATGCACCTACCAGCCTGGGTGCTGTGAAACAGCACAAGAGATTCACACTTGCACACTGCATGCTCCCCAGCACAAGCATGCATCTGCTAGAATGATTTAATACACCTAACATATGGAGGGCACCCTCAAATCTCATTGAGAAAGTAACGGACAAATCAATTCCACTAAAATAATCACAGAACTCCAGGTCAAACCTGACAGGAGAGGAAATGACAGAGTTCAGTCACCCAGGCAACCCTGACGTATTTCCTTTCTTGATGTTAAGCAACTCAAACCAGAAACATACAGATGACATTAACTTTTTAGACACTCAACTTCAGCAGTGCATGAGGATCCCAGCTGGTCTGAGCACCTGCAATCCACACAAGGTCTTTGCTCTGCAAAGTCTTTGACCATAAGGAAGCATGATGTGAAAGAAGAGGCACAGGCAGGAATCCTTCAAATCCTTAGGGACCTCTTCAACAACTAGTATAGGGGTGCTTACTGCTGTTTATTCAGATATCTTATAGAGGTTCTTGTGGCTGTATGTTAAGTATTGCAGTGAAAGAAACGCCAGTCTGTGTGTCTAATCCATCACAGATCAAAGATGAGTCCTGTAAACCACACTCAGACAAAACCATGCTGAAATTAATGACATGTTACGCAAAAAAGTCAAAGTTTGGCTAGAGACATTTATTGTGCACTGAAGGGTGGACCATTCACTAGGTCCCAACCACTGTGTGTACAAGCTAGGGTATATAGACCAGCCACAGAAGTGTGGCTAGCAGCATACACAAAACTATTTCCTAAATCTCAGTTACCACAACATTAAATCTTCTTCTTTGATAAAATCTCCTAGCCCTATTTAAAGGACAGGAACACACCTCGCCATTGTACCAGGCCTGCCCCCACACCAGCACTAGTGCTGCTGTGGACCCTGCCCAGCACCGAACAGTGCTTTGGTCTCAGGATGGGCAATTAGCCACAGGAGCTGGCAGCACAAACAAGCAATTATCCCACCCTGTCAGCCTTCTGGACTACTGCCATAGACACCAAGATACTATCAAAAATGCACACGTGGGTCACATAGAAGACAGAATGCCAGTGACATCCTTTCCAGGGGACTGCATGGCTTTGTAGGTAAGGCCAAGGTTATCTACCATAAAACTGAAGTTTTACTCAGAGCAGGTCAGAACATTCAGAATGGTTTGTTCAGACTTTAAGGCTCCTCACACTAAAAACAAGCTTAAACTCATGCTCCTGTGATGTACTTTCTTCTAGGCACTGATGTGACAGGAGCAGGAGGCTCTTGTGCCCTGCCCAAAAGAGCTTGTCCACACAGCAGTGGTGCATGACCTGTGCTAACAGGGCACTTGGGGCCAAGCACAACTATGCTGAGAAAGACAGAAGAAACAGTAGCTATCCTTGAAAATTTTGTGCTTGCCCACATTTGCCTGGACTTTCAATCACTGCTCCCTAGGGCGAGGCCCATTCTCCTGGGAAACGTCCAGTTTCTACTACAAACCACAGATGCACCAGATTTCTTAACAAAAAGTCTCACTCAAGAAAATGAGTGACAGGAAAAACAAAATAATATATGCAATCACTGCAGCTGCCTGTAATACACTCTCACTGCCTCGGAGGCATACAAAGAACATGGTCACATCCCAGCACAGGGCCATGTTCCAAAGCCAGACCTATAATTGTGCCGAATTATCATTTGCCATGGCATTCTTGGGAGGCTGCAAGGGGAGAACGCCCTGCCTGCTGCATTTGTCAGCGCCTGTCTCAGCACTCACCCAGCCACTTGGCTCCAAAGGCTTCAGGAAAGTCTTCGTTGCAGAGATTTTGTAAAGTTACACTCCAGCAAGTAAACAACTGCTCCAGAGCCAGGGAGCTAAAACATTTCCCCAGCAATCTCCATCCAGAAGGCACACGTGAGCACAGATACCAAGCTCTGCAGACAGGGAGCTGTATCCTAGGAAGAACATCTTCCTTCCTGTAATCTTTCAACGGGAGCCCAGAAGAAGAAAATCCTAGCTCTCTACAAAGCAAAGACTGAGGCAATCTACAAGTTTACCAAGACAGGCAGGCATATACAACAAAAGCTGTTCAGGATTAGATAGTACAGAAGAAACTTGTTGGAACAAGTAATACCAGCAGTCCAGGAGCAGCTTTCTCCAACGACTGCCTGGTAAATAAGCTGTGCTGTAAGGAATAATCTTTCAGCAAAGCAGCTTTCCAGAACAGACTGGCAGGGAGCACGAAAGAGCAGCAGCAAAATCTTCAGGTAATTTGACTGGCATGGCACAGGGCAGATG